ATTTCTTTACTCCTTTTGAATTTATCCCGTTTTTTTAAATCTGATTTCAGCAGACCCTTGAATGATCACTTTTTATGAAATATTTAAAGGGGCATCGAGTCTTATTATTTTGCCCTAAACTGAGGCCCAGTGTCCCATAGGGGAATTTGTTTTGTGTAAGTGCTGCTTTCTCCATGTGGGTTTGGGGCCCTCATTGTGTTGGGGGGAGGGGGGGGGGGGAACAAAAACTGAACCACTCTGACTCCCCAACATGTGTGTCGTATGAATCAGCTAATTTTGAGCTCCCTTCGAAGTCAGAGTACATATACCTGATAAGCGAGGAACAATCAACAGCACACAAAGCCAGTATAACGGATGCACATACAAAGCTCAGGCCCTGGCGCAAAGCCAGAGTCCAAATGGACGAACAACCAGGACTTTCCGCCGGAACTTAAGCAGGGGATCAGTAAAGAAGAGTGCTGCTTTAATTATAATGAATCTTTTAGCAGTACATGTTTGCAAATTTTTTTCTGATTATTTTAAAGACTGGCTGCACTTGTCTGTCAGCTATGTCGCACATTTCCCTGGCATTGCCTGAAATATCATGCTTTTCATATATCCAGTAATTGCCTTGACTATTCCATGTTTTATCATAATTTTATGAAACTATTCCATGTTTTTATCATAATTTTATGAAGTTGATAAAACAGTTATTTGTGCATATATATATATATATATATATATATATATATATATATATATATATATATATATATATATATATATATATATATATATATATATATATATATATATAAATTAAAAACATTCCAAACGAAATGTTTGTCAGTCTTTCAATCAATCAGGTGCCATCTGCACAATGAGGGTTGGCTGCAATGGATCGCTTGACACTCCGTCTCTTGTTTTGGTTGTACACTTTCTAAAACTTCTGGTTGTCTGTCTCTTGCTATTCCACTTGTATGACTGTTTACCTCTTGCTCTCCTGAGTTATGAATTGGATTATCTTCGCAGCACTCAGGATACATCCATAGGTGCTCAGATTTTCCCCTCAACATATTCATCAGCGCTGCACGGTTAATAGTGCCAGTCCTGTGCTGGTTGACAAGACTTTGTCTGCATGTGGTGTGTTTCTCATGCTTGGCTGGGCCGATCTTTACTCCCAATTCTTGTATTCTTAGCAGTGATGTAGACATGTGGCTTTCAAAATTTTTGGAACATCCTATCTCTCTAAGGGCATTGAAAATGTCTGCGTGATCATTGGGCTGGCCATCTTTAATTAATCTATCAGCTCTTTCATTACCAACAGCACCTGTATGACCTGTGACAAATATGAAGGTAACTGCACACACAGGAAAGTTTTGCAATGACACAATCCACTGTCTGCATAACCAGCCTGCCTCGACCTGCCGAATCACGCTCAAAGAATCACTCAGCACACACACGCAGGAATAGTCCTGTGATCCCAGCTCCATGAAAGCCTGTGTCATCGCCATCACCTCCATCATCATGCTGCTGGTGGTCATGGAGAAGGCATCACTGGCTTCTTGAACTCTTCTGCCTGAAGAGCGAGCTGTAAATGCCCATGTACTCTTATGTCAATATTCCTCATCTTCTTTGTACAAGACATTCTGAGAATCTTTCTATAGCATTTCAGCTCAAAAGCCCCTATTCTCTTTCTTAAGGAATGAGAGAACACGACTCACAACAGGGAAGATGCATGCTCTCAAAATTCTAATTTTTATCTCCTTGCTGGTGCTTAACCATAGACTTTTAAGAGCTTAGTAGATGAAAGAACATGTGTAAGAACGTGTGATTGGGGAATTAGTGTGGATCCGACAAGAAGGGATTTATGAGAGTAAGCGCACGACATGTGTGTAATCAGTATCCTACATCAACAGATGGCATCTACGCCTAAAGATATTTGATGTAGGAGACGATGCATCTGTCGCTTACCACGGTGTGTTATGATGGCCATTCTTAAATTAGTAATCAGTTGTTAAAAACAGGAGTGCTACGATAATACATCTCACTAACCGCTGTTCTTTCACTAAGTGACGGATTTCTTTTTGTTTCGGGAATTTCTGACTTTTAAAAATCCCGCATCAACAAGATCTAATCATAACCTTGCTTGCAGAGGATCGACTCTTTCTGAATTAGAACCAAGGTCTATGATATATGACAAGTAAACAAGTAATTGACACAGGTTCAAAAGGAGCCGGCACACTTAAGAACAGGTAAGTATTGCTACGACATATTTTAGATATTTTATTTCAGAGGATGACTAGAGAAATGATTGTCGGCACCAGAAGTTGACAGTATACATTCGTTAGTAACACTGTGCCACCACTTTCAAAATTGCACACCATCTTCTACTTCTTCTTTGCGCATGCTCAGTTCAGACGGTCAGGTGGACTGGCTCATATACGCATTCAAGGAAGGGGTGCTTTAGCCCCAGAGTCCGACGCCCCTGTCACACGTCTATGAAACGACGCTGAAAAGAAAGGGGGGAGGGGGGGGGGAAATGTGGAAGACATCTGAGCAAGATGTTGACAACGAAACAAGCTAGAGGATAAATATGGAAAGACGAGCGAACAGCAGCGTGTCAAAGTGTGGAGAGAGAGAGAGAGAGAGAGATTGCTAAAGAAACATCAAGATTAACCAGCCGTGTGAAACGACACTAGACAATATGAGCGTTACAGCTATAGAGCCCTCATTAGTCTACAACAACATGAAATCGGTTGCGGTAATAAATTCATTCGCAATCAACAAGATCGGTACCGCTTGCAACAGCCAGTTCACCGTATGTTGATTGATGAAACGAAATATGGTACCATCTGTAACAGGTAGTTCACAGTATGTTGATTGATGAAACGACATATGGTACCATCTGTAACAGGTAGTTCACAGTGTGTTGATTGATGAAACGACATATGGTACCATCTATAACAGGTAGTTCACAGTATATTGATTGATGAAACAACATATGGTACCATCTGTAACAGGTAGTTCACCGTATGTTGATTGATGTACACTTTTACAGCTTTTCTCAATGTTCAGTCTAAGAAGGCTCAGGTGACCGAGTAACACAAAGGAGGGTCGTAGAGTCCCTAAGGACATCCTCTATGGTGAACTACAGATGTTGTCGAGACCAAACTCTACTATGATAGAAATATTTTGCAAGCGGGTCATGAATGATAAAGGCATTGAGGTGGGCTCGTGAAAACAATATGTCTGGTAATCTGGTAATCTTAGTTTCAGCTTCATAGCAAACGGGTCAGTCCATAGTTGTTCCGCTCCTGTGCCAACGAAAAACACACAAAATGTTTATCACAGTCCCTTGTGCAAAAATTGACAGACTGCTGTCTCAGCATATGCACTAGCCTACACACGCATTAAAAGCATACCGTAGCCATCCGAAGTGCTAACACAAACAGTCTGACATTAGAAATGCAGTTTAACATGGATGGTAGCAGAAGTTACCAACAGAACTGCAGTTTCACACGCGATCAATTTTAATCACACAATGGCACCACCAATATTGCAACAACAGTCCTTACGCCATTTTTTGAATCTACAATTTACACCACCACGTTGGTCACAGTCGAAAAACATTCCAAATGAAATCCGCAGCTCACAGTGTCACGACATGCACTCAACTCAGAAGCTGGGCGACGAAACTATACCCTTTCAGTCTAAAAATGGAGCAAAAATGCAACTGCCACCGTCTGGCAGAAGCAAAAAATTTGCCACGGCTCAAAACAGTGGCCGTGCCTAGCGTCTATTTGGAATATGTCATGGACCGTATTGCATGGGGGGGGGGGGAGGGGGGGGGGTATGGGGGTGTGGCAAATCAGGCATGGGATGAAAAAGAAGGAACAAATGGTTGCAGAAAGGATGAGAGCAGAGCTGCTGAAAATAAACACACTAAACAGAAATGATGGCAACAACGATCCTGAAATGTCATGTCTTAATTGTGGAAGACTTTTCTTAACGCGGGCGCGTCTTGTTAGTCACACCCATTCCTCCCCACAACACAATATAACACTATCGTCTGCAAAAGACGGAAACAAAGAGATTGCCTAACTTCGTCTTCTGTAACATCCATTCAGTTGTAACATCCGCAGTTGCTATTTTAGTCAAACTGTTCCATTTTTCATTATTTTTAGTTAGCCTGGACTCGAAGACTGTTGCTCTTAAGTGCATATATCTGAAATTGGAAAAGTTGATTGAAAAACTGAAAGAGTTAACATATAGTTAGACATGACATCCGTCTGTCGGTCTCAAGACTTTAGAGACACTGCATCATCAGATTTAAAAAAATTATTTGATTCATAAATCTATTGTAATCTACATCCGCACCGCGTCTGTAGCTTAAGCGTTGCGAACGTGTTTCGTAATGCCAGGGTGCCGGGTTCGATCCTTGTTGCAGATGATTAGGCAGCAGACTCTCTTGCGTTCTTTTGTACAGTGGTTTCGAGAGCAGACCGTTGAATAGCAATGCCAAACTACTGAATGTAATTTTGGGGCCTATTCACTTTTCCCGGCCCATCTACACACTGGCTGACCTTTCATTCATTCTTTCACAGACTGTTTTACGTCAGAGGGTTGTCAAGTTGTCTTGCCCACAATTACATCAGCGCCGATGTCGTGTGTTCTATACTACACGACAACACAGCTTTTAATGACCCAAGAACATATAAAACTGGCCTCAACCCAAACCCTCTATCCACAGCCTAAGGCTAGGTTTCACGAGAGACTTTTCGAAGAAAACAGTACAATGCGACACCCCTCTGACCTAGAACAATCTGAGAAAGTGTGTAGATGGGCCGGGAAACGTGAACAGGACATACATTTACTTAGAAAAACCACATTAGCCCCAAAATGCTGGAGTTGGTTCTGCAACTTCCTGTAAAAGACGCGCAATTAACTAACCTCTGATTACAAAAAAGATTCCAGTTCTATTATCTGATTTTACAGACTGCTAGACTGAGGTTGGCGAA